AGAAAATCTGACGAAACGAAACTAGTGTAATGCAACGAAAATTTCGTTTTCTGACAAGCAATCTGCAAAATTAATGTGAAGTCAAATCGAAAGTTCTTCTGGTGACAAATTGGAATAATGACAATTTTTATTAATTAACAGTAATGCACACTGAATAAAATGGATTTTATTATTTCTTGTGGCTTTCATACCCCATGCAAACACGTAGGTACATGAAAATTACTTGTTAACAGTTTATTTTACGCATAATACGTTCCGCCCAAAATCTCAGGCGGAACGAACTCGTTAGAAAATGGCCCTCAGATGTAAGAGTCCGAGGTATATAAGGAGCGTAGGGACGTTAACCGAGGCTCTTACTTGTAGGAGTACAATAAACGTGTGATGTTTAACTCGTAGAGACGTGGTTACCTGTATAACTAATAAAGCATAAATTTATTGATATTCAAACTTTAATTTTTAATTATCACGAAAGGTGAAAAATGACTTGCCTCTTTCATTCTTGTGTCCAGCGAGATCTAGAACATGAATAAATGTGCAAGCCAAGCAAGGGGCCCTAATTAGAGTAAATAACAGTGGTTGCAAGATAAATTCGTTTATACCGATGGACAGGTCTCCAGGTTTCGCATTTGGATTCCGACTGGCGACGTTATGATCAACTCGTAACCCTAGAGCTAACCAGCTATACACTGCACCAATTGGCTGACAAGCTATACCAAGTAAGTACAGGTTCAAGTCGGTGCAAATCATTACCTCGTTGAGTAGGCTGGAAAACAATATGAAATCAAAGTTTTACATGAGGTAATTTAGGGGGAAAATATAGACAAATATTTTTTTATAATAGCAAACTATTCTTTTCAATAACTGCAGAGTCATGATTAATCAAACTGATATGAGAACATCTTCAGATAGTTCAGAAAAATTTTTGAAATCATGACCCTGGGGGGTGGAGCAACAAATTTGCTGATAACAATACCGTAGTTATGATGACTCAGGAGAGCGTTTGCATGGTCCAAGGGCGTCAACGTGCTTTTTTACAGTAGCAGACCAGTGCTGTCTTTAGACAACTTTACTATCATGCAACCAATGCTATCCAAATTTTGTCATAATATATTCAATGTTCTTTAAATTTGTGAATTCTCAAATATATTTTTTTTCATATTTATGGTATTGGGACGATTCAACTGATAATGACGGATTAACCTAAAAGTCAAATGCATTTTGGAAGTGGAAGGGGTCTTCTCCAGCCCCTTTTCCCTTCTACCTTTATATTCGTATAAAATCTACCAAACAGTATTATTTGGAGTCAGAATATTTTCAGGTCTTTTCACTAGTCATGGTCTTTTTGTTATGGTTGCTACGGCCACATAAATAATGTACAAGAATCTCTATATCCCAGATGTGCAAATGATATTATGATGGAACTTTTGAACAATGTATCTCTAAAACGCAATTCTTGCAATATTCCTCTCTTTTGTAGGATTATTTATTGAGTCTTGTATCCATTACACTCTTGGTATAGAAAGAGAATAAAAGATTTGAACAATTTTACTCTTTTCAAATATTTACTATGAGCATACGTAAATACTACTAATGGAATATTAAGATACTTTAAATGACTTTAAAACAATTTTGTGGCGTCATCTTTTGTTAAACCTGGTTCAATAAATTTGTTATTGTCCTGCACCCCGTCCAATAAGTTACCTGTAGGTGTCCAATAAGATTCAACTTATTGGACAGGTACAGGTAACGTTAAAATGAGAACAAAGGGCGAGGCAAATAAGTAAACAGCACATAAAAGGCAATGACAAATCAAACAATTTAATATGAACAGTGTAGGAAATTAGTAACGTTAGCGTTAAATGTCAATATTTCACAAAAAATCCTATTGAAAATGGCACAAATAATCCAGTGAGTTGAATGTCTCAGATTCATTATTGTAGACGCATCCGTGGCTCCGATCACAAATTTCGTAAATTCACCGTTCATTGCTATATACTGGTCTAGGAGTAATAGATTCATTTCACAATGATTGATCCATTGAACATATATAGAATCCAATGGACACAAAAGATGAACGAGAAGCATGCGTTTTCACTTCTTACACACAACCTTGGTCTTTTTGTTTATTGAAATATCCATTTTTTCAACATTTAGCACAAAATTTAGCTCACGAAATTTCAACGGAATCTGTAATTCCTTTCGGTGATTTTTGACCATTTGTCCACCTAGTCCCGCGTTGTTTGAGCGAGTGTCTATCGTTCTTTTAAGGAGTGGCTCTAGTAAAATCCTTCCGAGTTCAAAACCTGCACACAAAAGAGAAAGTGTTGCATTTCAAAAAAAAAAAAAATACATTAGAAATAATCTCCCAATTTCATAGAAAATGTTGAAACAGTTGTTGAAGTAAAATCCTTCAAATCCTATTACTTTACAAAAATTACCTGTTCACGGGAAACTGTTTATTGCAAATTCCGAAACATAAGAATATATATCCGGATTGCACGGTAGAAAACTTGAACTGAGGAAGCATCTTGGTGTAATCGATAAATGACATCGTCAAAACACCCGATTTTGAAGGTCTTTTTTTTAAAATAAAAATTTACGTCGTCTTCCGTGGTCGTTGCGTTGTAAAATGAATAAATTGTAAAGACTTTAGTAAAACTGACTTTAATGCATGCGTAGTATGTATAAAAAAATGTCGCAAAGCGGATAAATAAGACTATACAAAGTTATATTTATCGATATAAAACACCTCTCGATGATTCCTACTATCAATAAAGATAGAAGAAAAACCAAAACTGGTTTTCTTTGGCCTAACTTGATGAACACTGCCAGGTAGTCATTCCAGCAGAACGAGACCTTACCTGTGGCTGTCCAATAAGTTAACAATGGAAGTGTTCGATAGTGGTGAAATGTTTTAAGTAAGTTATAAGCCTCAAACTGACCATTATGTAAGATATTAGACTCTCCTCGGCGCTAACGCGCCTCGGGTCGTCTAATATCTGACATAATGGACAGTTTTCGGCTTATAACCATTACTTAATACAAATTCAAGAAACAAATTAAAAAAGACACCACCCCGAGAAAGACGCTCTTGCTCTGTCGTTGCTTATAATCAAACCAACGGCGGATTCATGCATACGAGTATAGACATGATCTCCAACATTCCCTTCCACAACTACAAGACAAGCTCCTTCGTCCCAAGTATAAGCATCGCCATGAGCAAAGGTAGATCCAGCAATTTGCCCATCTCCATAGAGGCCCATCCATGGGTTTGAACGGCCACAGTCCACGCAAAGACATAAACTCCTGATCTTGGTAGGATAAATATACCATCGTCCTTGTGATAACCTTGACCTCTGTTGACCTTGACTGTGTCAAAGATTAATGTGTGATGTTGACTAAGATTGGGAGCAGTATCTGTGGACATGTAGGCATGGAAAGCTATGTTGTCTGTGGCAGAATCAGGGGTTGATGGAACTAATTTAATTTAAAAACAACTGTGTGTGGATAAATAACTTAGGCGGAGAAAGCTTTGTTGTTGTAGGCATAGAAAGCTTTGTTGTTGTAGGCATAGAAAGCTATGTAGTCTGTGGCAGAATCAAGGGTTGGTGGAACTAATTAAATATATAAAAGGTATAGAAAAAAACATTTTTATATTAAAATTTTAACTCCTGTAATTTGAAACACATGTCGAAAATAAAAAAAATTATCAAAATAGTGATTATTTGTTTTGACAAAGTTATTATCTATTTTAAGAAAAGTGTTTTTAATTTTGAATTCAAAAGAAAGTTACCGTGTAAGCAGATTATTTAGCGAGGACTTAATTTTGGCTTTATTAGCGAGGGTGCCAAGATCACTAAACTTGAATATGGCTTTAAATTAATTGCGCTTTATTTGTAATTATAGCTTCTTACGTTAACTTTTTAAAATCGCTAAAATTACATATCGCTATAAATAAAATGCCAATCTTTAAGCACAGTTCGCTAAATTTGCGTCTCGCTAAAATTTCCATTATACAGTGTATTAAAGATTCCGATTAATATCGAGATCAATTCACCTATAAGTAGAATTTTTCGAAATTCACATAGTAATCTTTTTCTCGGTTCTTCCTTGGTGACAAATTTTTCATCTATTCAGTAGTTCTTTGTTTCATTTTTAATAAGCTCTGTTTGTAGGTCATTCCGACTTCCATTAGCGTTTTTCGATAGGATTGTCGTCCTGGGAGGTATTTCAGCCTTCCATTTGTTTTCACTGATATTTCTCACGAGATTCTCGACCTTTAACGACAGCTCAGTGTTTCTCTGTTGTTTTCCTCCACCAGTTCCTTTAGCGCCTTATTTTCCTCCAGGAGTTGGTCACTGATCTTCATGTACTGATGTAGATTCCTCTCCAGAGAAGAGAGGCGGGCTTGCATTGTCATCTGCCAATCGCTGGTAACATATGACGTGCAGAAAAGTGGAAAGTTAATATTATTTAAAACAGATCTAGAATTGCAGTGAAATTCATTTTGTCGCTCTTGTCGTTTTCTTTCTTAACACTATATGTTGTATAAGTAATGAGAAGACTGAAGACTGATAATATAAGTGGAATTCTTTTATCGTAAAGTCACACTGTCCTTCCGAGTTTTAGACAATAATCGAACAAGCGCTAGTGTTTAGATTGAAATAAATATTACCCATATGCAAAGAAACCAAAAATTTAACGTCACTTTGCAGTAAAAATACAATGTGCTAGCAAAAAATATACTTCTTTGTTCATATTGTATAGAAACTAACCAGTCTTCTGAAAATATTGATATCTGTATTATGTTTACAGTTTTGATGGCAGAGCATATAGTATATACTGAACAAAGATAGATTTATCTGTAAAATGGTGCATTGTTTATTACAATACATCATATACTATAAATCTTAATTCACCAGAGGAAATATATTATAAATCACAAACAACAAAACGCTATATAAACGTAAACTATATGATTTTATTTCAATATAATATCAAAACATTAAAAAAGACGCAATCCCGAAAAAGACGTCCGTGCTCTTCCATTGCTGTTTACAACATTATCTCCGTTTTCATGCATACGAATATAAACATGATCTCCGACGTTACCCTCGACAACAACGAGACCAGTCCCAGAGTCAAAGGATCCGGTCCCTCCATCTGCAAACGTCGATCCAGCAATTTGCCCATTGACGACAATCTCTACAGAGGCCCAGCCGTCATAGTTTTGAACTGACAGGGTCCATGCAAAGACATAAACTCCTGAACTCGGTATGATAAATATCCCATCGTCTCTGTGATAACCTTGACCTTTGTTGACCTTCACTGTGTCAAAGATTAATGTGTGATGTTGACGAAGACCAGAAGCTGTGTTTGTGGACATGTAGGCATGGAAAGCTACGTTCTCTGCGGCAGAATCAGGGGTCGGTGGAACTAATGAAACAATGAAAATTACAATTTTGAATGTAAAACTTAAATTATGGCAGGTTGATACCGACTGTCGAGATAAGAATCAACATTGTTTATAAAATATGATGATAATTTTTTGAAAAGAAAAGATGTTTTCGAAAAAGTGAAACCATTTTGAAATTCAACAGATAGACAAGCAAATTGATACTGACAAAATCTAGTCCCTGAATAGTATATTCCAAAATTCAGCCTACCTATCCTTTTTCTTGGTTCTTTGGTTGCATTGATGATAAACTGTTGATCTGCTCCGTAATTCCTTGTTTGATTTTTAATTAAATCTGTTCGTGGGCCATCGTCACTACCTTTAGCACTTTCCGGGAAAGCTGTAATGGGACGTATTTGAGCATCCTTCCGGTTGTTCTGTATACCACTGATAGCTCTTTCGAGATTTTTAACCTTTATCGACAACTCAGTATTTCTTCTGTTGTTGTCCTCCACCAGTGTCTTTAGCGCCTGATTTTCCTCCAGGAGTTGATCATTGATTTTCATGTACTGCTGTAGATTCCTCTCCAGGGAAGAGAGGCGGGCTTCCATTGTCGTCTGCCAATCGTTGGTCACATGACTTGCAGAAAAGTGGAAAATCAAAGTTGTTATAAACAGAAATGTAGTGACATCCATTTTATCGTTTTCACCTCCTTTTTGCGTTATTCTGTGTGTTGTCTTCGGTTTGAGTTGATTGATAAGATAAGAGGACTGTCTTCTATTGCAGTAAAGTCATTCTTTCCTACCGTATTAAATGCTATATCCACGTAAATTGTAAATACAAAAGTAGGGGAACCAAAAACTACCCTCTTTAAGGTCAAGATCTAGTAAATGAAAGGTGCCCACAGATTTATCAAATTTGAGAAATAAATTCCCTTATTGATGCTTTACAACTTTAGCTTGGTCAAATAAGGTGTTTCGGGGCATAATTTGTAGGTAAACAAGATGAAAAACCGTATTTTAAACTGTCATTTTCAATGAAAAATTAAGAAAACCAGTCATGAATATGGGAGTTTTTTTGGTATTCGGCAAAGGAAATGTATCCAGATTGCCTACAGTCTCTCAGAAAACGGTAATTAGTATGTTCATGGCCTCTTCTTTAAATCAATATCAAATTTAATATAGGTATCCGGTTTACTTTTCATATGATTTCAAATTGAATGACATGAAAATACCCTATTTTCTACACAATTCTGCTAAAGCCGTAAAGTACGGGGAAAAAAAAGGTAAAAAAACGATTTCAGAATATGTTACACTGGTGCTAAAAGTGTAATATAAACTGTAGAAAAATATACCAATCCAGGTGAATTTTATGAGGAAAAACAAGAGGTACGTGTTTGTGAAACACTGATGCCCAAGTATGGCAACATTACATAGCGAAGATTAAACTTTTCTTAAATGCAAACTCACTGGAAATACAATTCTGAAATATAAAATTAGGTTTAAGTTTTTTCATAGTATGGAATCTCAAAGGTCATGGTCAAAAGATCAATTAAGTTAATTGGTATCCAATGAAAGGTCTGCCACAAAGAAATACATATGTGAAGTATGGAAGCCCTAGCCTTAACCCTTCAAAAGTTATGACCAAGGTTAAAAATTTTAAAAAGTAGGTCAAACTCTAAGTTCAATTTCAAAGCGTCAAAAGTCTTGCTATCAAATGAAAGGTCTTGTCACAAGGATTATCTATGGGAAGTATGAGATCACTAGCCCTTAGTGTTCAAAAGTTATGGCCAAGGTTTAATTTTTGTCATTAGTAATGAAATCCCCAGGGTTAAGGTCAAAGATAAAGGTAATTGGTATCCAATGAAAGATCTGGTCAAAACTTAAAGAATTCATCTGTAAAGTATGAAATTATGAAAGCCGTAGTCCTATCCGTTCAGAAATTATGGCCAAGGTTTAAAATTTTCAAAGAAGGGCAAACTTCAAGGTTAAGGTCAATGGGTCAAAGGTCTTGCTATTAAATAAAAGGTGTTGTCACAAGGATTAAATACGTAAAATATGATAGAACTAGCCCTAACCCTTTAAATGTTATGGTCAACTTTTGCTTTTTTAAAAGTAGGTCAAACTCCAAGGTTAAGATCAAAGGGTCAAAGTTATTGGTATCCAAGGAAAGGTCTTCTCACAAGTATTACACACAAGTACTTTGACCCTTTGACCTTGGTGTTTGACCTACTTTTAAAAAAAGCAAACAGTGACTATTTAAAACTTATAAAGGGTTAGGGCTAGTGATTTCATAATTTACATATTTAATCCTTGTGATAAGACCTTTCATTTGATAGCAAGAATTTTGATCCTATGACCTTGAACGTTGACCTACTTTTTAAAATTTTTAACCCTGGCCATAACTTCTGAAGAGTTACGGTTTGGTCTTCCATACTTCACATATGTATTTATTTATTTTTTATTTTTTGTGGCAAGGCATTCCATTAGATACCAATTACTTTGATCTTTTGACCTTGACCTTGTTGCTATACGGGGGCGCATCAGTGTTTCACAAACACATCTTAATTGTTACTACTTTGCTTTTCCTCACAAAATTCACCTGGCTTGGTATTTTTTTCTTAAGTTTATATTACACTTTTAGCACCAATGTAACATATTCTGAAATGTGTTTTCATCTGTAAACCTGCACTGAGTGTGTTTTGTCTATATTTGATTATTATATTGAAATATTACTCAATATTTTCCAAGTCTATTTCATTTTCAAGTTCTTGTGTTATAAAATTCTAAGAATATTATCCACTTTTGACATGATATTTAGTCTCCTCCGAAGAATAAAAATTGTTTGTATCAACTGTCCTTAATGAGTTTGGATGGATTCAAAAACTTGTCCCTACCTATTCCGGAAATTAGGAGTCCCTTTGATATAGGTTTATATTTTAGTTTTTCTAACTCTCGCGAATGTTCGTGACTTCAAAAAGCCGGCATTATTGCTTCATCATAAACAAAACAACGCCGAAAAATGACAGGAACTGTGCGAATGGTGACGGAGGATTCACAGTTCCAACCAGAACTGACCAACGCTGGAACTAAACTCGTCGTCGTGGACTTTTACGCCACGTGGTAAGCAAGAGTTAAAAGAAGAACGATCCCGAAATACTTTCATTCCTCAATAAGTAACTAGATGACGATTTGTGTATGAATCATCTTAAGATTTTCAGATTTTGAAGATAGAAGATATGTTTTCTTAAACAAAATTTTCATTTACACAGAATTTTGCTCTTCGTTTGACAAAGGAAAAATTAATGAAAGAGGAAATTCGAACTTTTTTTAAAGAAAATATTGAAGTAAGAGAAATGAAGTATTGAATTTGATTTTTTTAAAAAGAAAGAAAGAAAAAATACACAATCACCAGTAAAAATAAAGTCAGCAAGTAAACACAATTTTGATATGAAGCTTCGAAAGCCTTAGGGATTTTTAAAGCAAGTTTGGATTATTATAACTTACCGAATTGTGCCGTAACATAAGTTGTCTTTAGTATAATAAAACACCTGTTTACATATCATGACATTATATATCATGGTACAAAATTTTTAGCGATACTGAACCCTATTAAATTGTATAACATACTGTAAACCATGACGACTTTATTTCGGGATTTACCAGGGTCAAATTTGTTGTGGGATTAATTTTTGTGATTAAGCCTATTTTTGATCTGTTGTTAATAGACACAGAGACTTTATAATAAGGACTGGTTCGCTGTGAGAAATATTTACAATGACGAAGCTCTTGCGAACTTCAAGAAAATTTCTCGCATGGGAATAAAAGTTGGTTTACAGGTATTATGATTCATGCCTCACGTAAATAATACCTAATCTTAATAATTTAGGTGAGAAATAATAACATCAGATCTTATTTATAATGTAGGTGTGGGCCGTGTAGAAGGATAGCACCCCTGTATGGAGAACTGAGCCTGAAATACACTAATGTTGTGTTCCTCAAGCTGGATGTCGACCAATGTCAGGTATGTAATCTGGGTCAAGGACTTCAATGTCTTTGCTTGCTTTTGTTTGCAAAACCATTTGCCTCTTTTGTTAGTATTTAAGGTGGGGGTGAAAGTATGAACGAGTATGAAAGTGTTTATTATATCGGATTACTTGCTTGGAGGTTGCTTAATGTTTTGAAATTGTTTACAAATGAATAACTCAGTGACGATTGCAACGGTGAACTGTCAGGGGCTAGCAACACCTCAGAAGCGGCGTGATGTTCTTAATTATTATAAGAAAAAGGGTCTTTCTATCCTGTGTTTACAAGATACACATTTTACTGATGATTTAGAACCATATGTAGAAGCTCAATGGGGATATAAATGTATTTTTAGTTCTTACAGGTCCAATTCACGTGGTGTTAGTGTCCTATTTAATAACAACTTTGAATTTAAAATCCATAAAGAAAAAAAGGATTGTGAAGGAAATCTAGTTGCTCTAGATATAACAGTTGAGGATAACAGATTAACTCTTATTAATGTTTACGGTCCAAATCTCGATTGTCCAGAATTTTATGAAAAAATTCGCGAAATTTTTTTGGAATTGGACAATGAATATTTCATACTATGTGGTGATCTAAATCTTGCTTTGAACCCTGCTATCGATACATATAATTATTCTCATGTTAACAATCCAAAGGCTAGAGACAAACTAATAGAAGTTATGGAGGATCTTCATATTGTTGATTACTTCCGGATTTTGAACCCAGAAAAAAAAGTGTACACATGGAGGAAAAAAAATCCATGCAAGCAAGGTCGGCTTGATTATATTCTTATATCTGAAGGTTTATCCAACTTAGTAGAAAATTTTACAATAAAACCTGGCTATAGATCAGATCATTCTATTGTAGTTTTAGAACTTAAGTTCAACTCTTTTGAGAGAGGGTGTGGCCTGTGGAAATTTAATAATAGTTTGCTGTATGACATGACATATGTGGAAAAAGTTAAACAAGAAATTGAAAAAGTAAAATTGAAATATCTACAAAGCAAAACATGTATTCATGATATTTTCGGTATTGATGACAGTTTATTTTTAGAAGTTCTTCTAATGGAAATAAGGGGAGTTACCATTTCATATTCCTCATATAAGAAAAAGGAGAGAGATGAACGTGAAAAATCATTAGTAGAAGAAACAGAAGAATTAGAGTTGCAAAATAAAAACAACACAGTTATTTATGAAGAAAAAAAAATATCTCTCGAAAATTTAAGAAGAGAAAAAATGCAAGGTCATTTAATAAGATCACGCGCAAGATGGGTTGAAGAGGGTGAAAAGCCCACAAAATATTTTTGTAATTTAGAATCCCGTAACTACATAAACAAAGTAATAAAAAGGGTTGATATTGATGAAAGTAATACAATTTATGATCAGTTTGAAATTTTAAATCAAGTTAAAATTTTTTACAAAAACTTATATACAAATAGAGACTCTGAACTTATTGATTTGAATCTCACTGATATTATTGATCAATCCGAAAGTAAAAAACTTGATGATGAAACATCTAGCATCTTAGAAAAGGAAATTGTTGAAAGTGAAGTTTTAGAGGTTCTGAAAAATATGAAAAATAATAAATCACCTGGAAGTGATGGATTCACAACTGAATTTTTTAAATTTTTTTGGAAAGACTTAAAATGTTATATTCTCAGAGCAATAACTTGTATTTTCAATAAGCAAGAATTACCAATTTCCCAAAGACTCGGCATTATTTCATGTATACCAAAGGGTGACAAACCAAGACAATATTTAAAGAATTGGCGACCAATAACTTTATTGAATGTGCTGTATAAACTTATATCTGGCTGCCTAAGTTATAGAATAAAGACTACCTTAGATTCCCTTATTTCAGATACACAATCTGGTTTTATCAAAGGTAGATATATAGGGGAAAATACACGATTTATTTATGATCTTATGTCATATACTGAGTCGAGAAATATACCAGGTCTCTTAGTTCTTATTGATTTTGAAAAAGCCTTTGACTCAATATCATGGTCTTTTATTTACAAAGTACAGTACAAGCCGTTTATTATCATAGCTTATTTGTCAGGCCAAAACTTTATAATAACCGACTATGATTATAACCATAGACAGCTGAAATTCATCTCCGAGGTCTGACATGAACATGACTTGATCAATAACATGCCTGCCGTTTTTACACTATATTAAATAAGTATTATAGTATTAATTTCATATTTTTAGGTTTATTTTGAAAAAAAAGTTAGCTAACATATCATTTTACTTTTTTTACTTACTGTTTAAACATTTTGTATAAATATATTCACTTTTCTAAAGCTTAATAATCTCCGAACTCAATCTTCTAGATGTCTTGGCATCCATCTTGTTAACTTTCATTTTGATCTACTTTCGTTTTTAGGTTCTATGATCAATTCAATCAATTAATAATTCGTTTGTTTTTTTTTACGTTGCAGTTTTAATGAAACACAAAACAAAAAGAGAAAATATCTATAAACAGTATATAAAAACGTACAAACGAAAAAAAAACATTTAGTTACAAAAATGTTTGTTCAACATTTCAGCATAACACAACTTGCTTACCAACTACACAATATTTACGGTATCAAAATTATGTTACAACATAACAGAACATGAATTAAAATTGTTTAATTCTTTCTCATTCTTTTTCAACCTTCAAGCTATTAAGTGTCAGGGAAAATTCATCTAAAACACAAGCCCAATTATTTTCTTCCTTGCACCCAAGCGCTAATTACACTTAATGGTGCCGTTTAATTGAAATTAAATTAATTGATACACTGATGTAAATCAAAGCCGCTTGGACAGGCTGGTTAAAAAGTTAATTTCACATCACTTCTGAATAAATTGGACAATTTATAAATGTGATTAATTATGACCATTGATCAGGCAACAAGCGTAAGATAGCTTGGGTAAATTGACACTTAATTTAGATTCAACACATTTTGGTAAAACACATTTATTATCAATGTACAATTAAACAAAAGAAGAAAATAAGATTGCGGATGGCTTCCTGTTGTTGTGTAATGTACTTTGTGAAATAAACAAACTTCCAGTCATCGCTCAGGTAAATGCGCTGGAGTGTGACTAATCCCCCTCAGCCAAGCCATTGTGTATAGATAAGCGACAGTGCATGGGCCACAGGTGTTGACAGGTGTTATCTTTTGTTTTGTTAATTGTCTCCAGAGTGAAAAAGGTGTGAAAAAAATATTACGGACGAAATTTTTCTATGATAGTAACCGAAGTACACACTTTTACCTATGATAATAACGTAAGAAATTAACAATGAATTATTAAGAAATGGTTTTGTGTTTTAAATATCTATGATAAAAAACGGCCTATGATATAAAACAGGTATTAAATAAAACGGCTTGTACTGTACTAAATTATTTTGGATTTGGAAATAAATTCATTGATTGGATCAAAATTTTGAATACAAATTTTAAAGCATCTGTTCTGCAATGTGGACATTTATCTGAACAAATACATATTCAGAGAGGTTGTAGACAGGGAGATCCTGTTGCACCTTATTTATTTCTCCTCTGTGCTGAAATCCTTGCTATTCTTGTGAAACAAAATAAAGACATTAAAGGCATTATTATTCAGGAGAAAGAACATAAAATTTCCCAATATGCTGACGACACTTCGCTTGCCCTTGATGGTTCACCAAAATCACCTTTTGCAGCTCTTGACACTTTAGATTTTTTTTCACGGTTATCTGGGCTGAAAATAAACAGTACTAAAACAAAAATTATTTGGATTGGTTCAAAAAAATTTTCAAACCAAGTTTTTCACCACCCGAGATGGAAGTTAGATTGGGGGTCAACAACCTTTCTCCTTGCTAGGCATAAATTTTTCAGTAGATTTAGAAACAATAACTGACATAAATTATGATCTAATTCTACCTAAGGTAAAATCATTGATTCAACAATG